AGAGAGAGAGAGAGAGATATATAGAGAGAGAGAGAGAGAGAGAGAGAGAGAATTTAGAATTTAGATTAGATTAGATTAGATTAGATAGACCTTTATTGTCATTGTACAGAGCACAATGAAATTACAGTTCAGAACACCCATTCAGAAGAAGACAGAACATAACAAACATAGGAGAACAGGTGCCTTGGGTCATGCTGCTACTGACCCTGCACAAAGCAAGGATCATCTTCATGAAGACATCATGAGGAGGCRCAATCTTAAAATAAAAAACTAAAAACCGCACAAGGGTAGATGAGGAAAACAAAACAAAACAAAACATCATATTATATCAACAATGTGACACACTGTTTTTATAAAAAACCTCTGCACAGAGCACATTTATTAGCCAGAGGACCCTCAGTCAACATAACCAACCAGGAAGAATTTAGTCCAACAGCTCAAGGCCATGTAGGAGAAAGCCAGATTCTGTAATCAGTTGTTTTGGGAACAGAAGAGTCAGGCAGACAATAACAATTTTCCATCTGCTTTAATGTCTGCTGGTACATCTCAAGGTGGCGAATCCAATCAGACAAATAATGTGGACAAATTCCRCTGAGCCGTGCTATCAACTTTCTTCAAGATCAATTCCATCTCGCCAGCCAAGTCCAGGAACCACAGCTGACCCGCGACCCTTAGCAGAACCGCTTGCAGACAGAGTCCAGCTCGCTCAAGGCAAAAGTCTGAGTGCTGATAGTAAATGAACAGCCACCAACACCGTTTTGTAGAAACACCCAGAGACCACCAAGACAAACTGTAAAATCCAGTGATCAGAATCCAAATATATATCCAGAACAGAGAAGAACAGAGGTCCCACCTTTGACATGTCCTCCCATGGAAGAAAATACTTTGTTCCAAAAAAATTATTAAGAGACCAGCTGACCAAATACATAAAAATAAAAATATCCATAATTTATGGTTTCGGATGAAAACGTAGAGAAGGCTCTGAGCAGCAAAGCAGAGAAGGTAAGAAAGGGCAGGAGAGAAGGGAAAAGTGTCTTACTCCTCTGAGAGCGGAACAAAAAAAATTAACTATTTGACCTATTTTTTTTAAATAGTTTTGTTACTTTTTAAAACAAAATTCACCAACATTTTTCTGTTCAAATAAACCTTTTCTAAAACCATGAAAAGCAAAGGATGTGTATTAAGTTGTTGAGCAGTTTGAGAGTGATGTAACCTAAACTGTTGTGTACTTACCTTTCAACAGTCTGGTTGGTGCTCTGTCATCAACTGCTGGACCTATTGTTTAGTTTAACAATGTTCATGCATGTTGAAAGGAATATGTTTCTCAGCATTGATAAATAAAAGTATAGTTTTTTTTGTCTAGACGTGTTTAATTACATTTGGGTGTAACGTATTAGATACGTAATTCAGTCAAATGAGAGGCCTGAAGGCATCATTAGCAGCCTGTGTAGTCCTGCTGCTTTCTGAAAAGGGAGAATGGTTGAACTGATTTGTCTGTGGTAAGGTCACAAACAAGTCACAGACATGTTTGCCTCATGAGAAGATGTAAGGTCCTGGCTTTCTACTCAGCACTGCTTCAAAGCCACATGGCAGACACTTTTAAACCATTTTACAAGTGTGACTGAAGACACTGTAAATAATAAGAGTTGAACTCTAACTTTAAGCAGGTCATGGTACACGCAGCTTTAATTAGACTTTGATATATTATTTAAAGGAGGAGTGTTACGCAAAACTGAGTTTATAATCTCGTTCCCTTAGCAAAAACATACACAGAGTGTTGATTTGACTCATTCAGGGATGTTTGAAAAATCCTTGAATTTCCTGTGGTAGCCATGTGGAGCTGCCTAAATGCTTGCTTGTACAAAGCACCGCCTATTTACACAAAGCTCCTCCCCACAGAGCACCCCTCCCTTGAATAATTACTTGAAATACTGAAGTGGGAGTGTCTGAAAAGGTAGGAGGTTCTTAAAGAGACAGAGGACAATTTCAAGGCATTTAGATAGGCTATGATGCAAAGTCAGATTTGTTTTTTTGATATAAACAACATTTTCAGAAAAATTGAAGGTAACATACTTGATTGTGATATAGAATTTAACTATGTGCCTGGAAAATACACAGTGTTATCCTAAAATTAAATTATTAAAATAATTATTGTCTACTGCCATGAAAGGCAGATTATAATGTAATYACATCTGTCAGAATGTTTATGTGTTTGTGTTTGACTGTCTGTCTGTACAATATTTCATCAACCAGTAGACAGAATTTTATACAACTCTGAAAAAGTAATCCTCAGACACACATTTACAACTGTTCTACATTTGTAGTCAATCTGATTCAAAATGACTGCCACAGCTAATTCACTTTAGCATTTATAAATATGGCTAAAATCCTGTCAAACTTATGGACAACGAGCTCAGTTTTGATGCTGTAGTAGTTGATAATCATCCCCCAGCACATGTTCTGATTACTAAAAGATTGAATGAATTCTGTGATTAATTTATTTATACATTTTATGCCTAATAKAATTTTAAAACAAGGCTGTTAGACTGAAGAAGTTCATAATTTTAGTCRTTCAAAAAACAGGATTTGTGATTCGAAAGGACTGGAAAAAATAACCTGTGAGGAGTTTTATTCCCAAATATTATCTGCAAATTTCAAAATGCACCAATTTACTAAATGATTGCTCAAATAAAAGTATACTGAATTTTAAAAAAAAGCTGAAACACCCAGATAAGTGTAATTTATACCTTAAGAGCAAAAAGTTCTTATTGGTCAGTCCTCTTACAGCACCAGGAACTGAGTTATTATCTGATTTTGCAATATGTTCAGCAGTCCATGACTTCACCCAACCATCAACATAACATTATATGTCACTGACAAGGAGTCTCTTGATTCCAATGAGCTCAGTTTGTTTTTAGGGTTTGTGCTTTGACTCTGCAGGTCTGGAGTTTTATGCTTGAAATGCAAACACTGTCCTGCCTTTGCAAATACAAATATGTGTTTGCTTCATTGAAAGTACAAGAGGTTTTGGGACATTATAGACATCAGTTTGCTTGTAGTTTGCATGAGTTTGAATGTTTACAAAACAACTGATGTTATTGTTAGTGAAAGAACAGCAGTATGTGGATGTTCTGGTATGGTCTGTGTGGTCCTCTTTGCTTCCATGCCAAGAGAACAGAGGGTTCTCCTCTCCTCTGCCTTTCCAAGTCAACCTCTGCATAAATCATTGTTTGGTTCCAGCATAGTGCCACAGTTCATATTTGTATGCTGTGTTTGGTCAAAGYCTGCCTTCCCAGAAAAGCAATGTGTAACTGAATTCGTATGTCATGTCTGTTTTTGGACTGCATGACATTTTTGAGGTTAACGGTACAGTTCAAAATAACTTGGCTTGTTGTTTTTACTTTACATGTCGTTCGTTTGTACATAAAACACACAACTAACGCACAACTTAATGTCTTCACTTAATAATGCACATACAAGTTTTTTCTACATTATGTAATAATTAAAGCCGGCAACAGATTTGACAGAATTTAACAGAATTTCTGTTTTATTTTTGCTTTTTTGCAGGAAAATATGGGACACCAAGGTCAAAGATCCATCAACAAGGTCATTTAATATTTTTTGATTAAACCTTGTCAAACAACAATAAAAAAGATGTTGAACTAAAAAAATTTTTTTTTTTACTAACTCCTAAATTCTATTTAAAAAGAATCGTATTGCTGATTATCTCTAACAGTTCAACGTTGAATTGTCTGAACCTACAACTAAAACAGCTTTTCTTTTCCATGCAGAATTAGCCTCATGGCAAAAAAGAAGGGATTCTGGGTAGAGAAAGTGCACTGTCTGGGCACAGAGAACAGCCTGTCGGAGTGCCTTGCTCAGCTGTCCATCCCTCGCAGTCCCACTCCATGCAAGAACGGGAGACACGCGGTGGTCAAGTGTGTGGCGGGGCCTCAGTTTGCTCGAATGTCCTCAGGAAGACCCCAGGCTCCTCATCCAGTTGTGGTAGGATTTATACAGTTGTGTCAAACACGTCTCTGTGCACKAACCGGTTTGTACAATCTTTTGCTGTCCTGTGCAGCCTGTGCGCCTTAAGGCAGGTCCCCGGCTGGGCGAGGGTCGTGTGGAGGTGCTCCGGAATGGAAAATGGGGAACTGTTGTCGACCACATGTGGGACAGGACTGCAGCCAGCGTGGTGTGCAGAGAGCTGGGTTTTGGTTCTGCCAAAGATGCCCTGCAAGGAGCTTTTATGGGCCAAGGTAAGAGAAAGAAAGAGAGAGACCTACTTGTGTAAAACTCAACAAATATGCAAAACTTCATGTTCAGCGTTTTTGGTTGTTTTCATGGTATTCCAAAGAAGACAGTGAGACCTCTGCTTTTTGTAGACACCGCACCCGTCTGCCCTGACTGATTAGATAATGTGTAGGCATGTGTGTTTGTCTTTTTGTCTGTGTTACCTCATGAGCTGCAAATGTGTCGACTGCAGTATCTCCAGCTGTGAGGATATAAGCCCTGTGCCAGTAGTACCACCTGCCCAAGCACACACACAGATAAAGAAACATTGTGAGCCATGGTGGTTTACTTTGACATTTGGTAACCAAGCCCAGCAACATGATCTTGCTAGATTAAAGCAACGTTTTGATTTAGTCACTGAGTGCTTGTTTTTTTTTTTTTTGTCTCCAAATTTTCAAATGTCCAGCTTCGCCTTCGCTTACACTTTYAGTCGACATCCAGCTGTTCCAGCGGTGTCTCCACCCCTGCGATATGTGGGAGAAAATGCTTTCACCATGCTCCGGGCTTGGGTGTAGTCTTGAAATATGCTGAAGGAGAAGAAATGTGGGATGATATTTCTGCTGGTTTAGCTCTTCAGAAGATCAAAGGAAATATAATTTGGAGCTATTTCTGTGTAGGAGATGTCATTCATGCTATAGTTGTTTTGTTAGATGAATATAAAAGAAGCAAAGTCTGACTTTTCTTTGAATTAAAAGGAAACTTTACTGGCTTTGACATGCCATATGTTGGCTTAGGCTTTAAAAAACATTTTTATAAGCAGGAAAAAGATGTAGAAGATTAAAAAAAATCAGTGTTAAGCTACTTTATACATAACTATAAATAGCTATAAACCARGTCACATATTCTAACCGACCTGCAGTTTTTTCTCTCCTATGAAGCAGTGTTTACATCACTTTTCACTCCTTATGTGGAGTTTCTCTGTTTTTGTTTTTTATACCATGGTTTCCTCCAAAAAACAGACATATTAGATTAGTTTAATTGTTTATTCTAAATTATGTTTTGGAGTGAATAAATTTGCTGTGGTCATGTTGGTCCTGCGATGAAGTCAGTTCAGGGTGTACCCTCCTCTTGCTCAGTAACAACAGGAATAAGTTAAAACTTTGAAAATGCCAACATGAAAAATTCATGATTTTGACAAGATCTGTGTATAGTGCTGTGTGTTGGCATTTGGTGATATGATATATATCCTGACACAGGGGTCACAATATGATATTTGCGATATTTTACGATATATTGCATTATTGTAAGCAAGGCGATACATTGCCATTTTTTTTCTAGAAAAGATTCTAATAAAAAAACACAGGATTAAGGGCACACCATGCATTACAAGCATAAAATCTGAGTAAATTCACTTTTAATTTACAATAAGAACATTGAACAATTGAACAGCCTCTTATTTCTTATTGGCTGACTGCTGCCAACTAGTGGTTGGAGGCTAAAATACAACAAAAAAATTAACAGCTACTATGAAAGTTTACATTTTAAACATGTAGTTAAAAAGTGATCCAGTGCTTTTGAGAATCAATACAGTATAATGAAATGAAATATTGTAATATTTCGGTATACTGGTAGTTTCTTGCACCCCTAGCAGATTTAAACTGTGTGAAAAGCTTCTGCATTAAACCGGTGTAGCCATCGGAAAGGCAACAAAATTGTCATCTTGATAAATCAGATGACTTGCAATGCAATCAGAGTACAGTGCAATCGCTCAAACATTTTCYGTTTTAACTTCAAATAAATAATGTTCACCAGGCACCAGGCTTGATCCCRTAGGCGTCCATCAGAAAAGCCAGTTTACATCATGGTTCTCAATGATTGGTCCATCTACCTCAGAGAGAAGAAAYGAGGAATGTGTCTTAGAGTGGCTTTATTAATCTACACAGTCTCCCATCTATTTTGATTTTTTTTGCACTTTTCAGTTCTGCCCAGTTTATTGAAAGATGGGATAATGTGTAGAGTTCATGTGCCCAGAAACATATAACTTCAAAGTGAGCGACAGAGTTTGCTTTTCTTTGTAGAGTGAACAAACACATAACACACACCTTCCTCTTTCAGGCTCTAACACATACATTACTTACTCCTGGTTGCTTAAACTTCAAAGAACTCTGACAGCTTCCTTTTTTATAACATGGCAACCTGCAGGGTTGGGCCATTTTCATATACTGTATATTTTTTCAAGTCTCAAAGGCCTACTAAAGACAGGCTTGTGTGTGTCRTGGAAAAGCTGTAACACAAATGGAACCGATCTCCCAGGAAAAGACGTCCTTAGCAAGTTAATTATTAAGTTTTGTTCAAATGCTTTTCTTGTTTATTCTGGACTGGTATGATGAACAATTGATCAAATGTGATTTTACCTGTAAGAAATAGGGCTCACAATGTTTCCTTACAAAAAGAACGACCTTCTTTAGAACCTCAGCTATGGTTTTATTTCAGGTCAGTTTGTGAGGTTTGTACCTACTTTTCAAAATACCCAGAGGCAGAAAGGCTTTTTCAAGAACTTTAATAAATGTTACACTTGACTAAAATCTAGATTTGATAATATCTCAAAATTGGCAATGGAGACAAACATTTTAATGGACCCAAACTGGAGTGTAATTTTAACAGTAAAGAACAAGGCTTTTCTTGTAACCACCAACTAGCGGTGCAGTTTTTAACAATACTGTCAGTGTCAACATGCTTTTTTTTCTAAAGTTGTTTTATTTGTCTCTCCAAATGATCTATGGCAGCAGCCAGTTCTAATTATAAAACAATTAAGCTCAACTTGGTCAATGCTTAATTTAAAATCAGGTTTTGGTAATTGATGTATTTCTGCTGAACCCATGGCTTGATTGTTTCCAGATCTGATGTTAGAGAGGTTGAAAATTCAGTTTAGTTCCAACTTTATCTGCCAGCTTTGTAAGTCTCATTGTCATTAAATTACTCATCATCATCATCATCATCATCATCATCARCATCAGTGACTTAAATTACAGGGACAACGTTTGTGTTTCCATTTCAACCAACTGTGTTACTTTACTGTGTAATTTCACCCATGAAGCAAACAGATATAGAGTAGTGAGCATACAAAGAGCTAAAACACCCTTACATCTGTGTGTATTTGTGTGAACGTAAATTGCGTGTGGCTAGTTTCTTGAGAATTATTTTGGGGCGAGATTGAAATAGAGCATGCTGCAGTTCATTCTGGGAGATTAGATCTAGTTTGTGGCTTTACCCTGCTGATCAAGGTGGAAGTGGGGAGAATCTCTTACCCTTGTTCTCTTACATGAGGTATAAACCCGCAAGTGGCGACCAGCATTGAAGCTGGCTTACGATAAACAAATTAGATTAAAGCTTCTTTTCTTGATTTTTTTTTCATATATCATTTTTGGTTTGTACTGTTTATTTCCAAGCTTCCCAAGTTTAAAAGTTWGCTTTTTTGCAACTTTAGTCTGACCACATCTCATGCAAGCGCTTTGAGCTAAAAATAAAATTCAAGGCCTTTTTATTTTATTTATTTCTTTATTTYCCTGTCATCTTCTAATTTSTTCAGAGAYGATCTCGATTTTGCTGGCACAAATTTGGTCTTGTTTGCTCACTCAGTGTGGCAGACTACAAACAATGTTGACGCTGTTGCGCCCAAAGCAAAAGAATGGTGGTAATGAGGTGTGACAGATGCTTTGAGCAGATGTTTTCCTGCTGCTGTTTGGCTTGCAGGGACATTTTGTYATGACAGATAGCGACTTCCCTATGTTTGTTTATTGTTTAAGTAGAAAAACCTCATTCCCATTAAAGAACACAAAGCCACTCTTATGCATTGCTGCGTGATGCTTTGCATGATAAAATCTCCTTGTGGCACTGTGTCAACGTCAGTGTCTAAAGACAGCCAYAGTAAMTACTGCCCTGTGGTTACATCCATGCTTTTCTGGGTTCCATATTTCCAGMAGTCTTTAATTCTACCACATCCTCCTCCTCTCTTCAGGTACAGGACCTATCCACATGAACAATGTACAGTGTATGGGCTCCGAACGCTCCATCCTGGACTGCTTTTTCCAGGAAGTCCAACCRTGGACATTCAAACACAGCCAAGATGCCTCTGTACGCTGTAACGTTCCTAAAACGGGCACGGAAAAAACGGTAAAAGAAAAAGACGTTTTCACTAACAAGTCTCAGTTGCATGTATGGATGAAGCACAACCAATTAAACGATTGAATCTGGTGATTATTTTAGGTACGGCTCGCAGGTGGTAGAGTCCCCTCTGAAGGCCGCGTGGAGGTGTTGATGGAATTTGGAGGTCGTAAGCGSTGGGGCTCCGTCTGTAGCGAGAACTGGGGCATCAATGAAGCGATGGTGGTGTGCAGACAGCTGGGCCTGGGCTTYGCTGCCAGCGCTCTCCAGGTAACACCCTCCACATCCAGCAAAACGTGACAACAGATCGTCCTGTTGCAGCTCAGTAATCCAGGTAGAAAAAAAATCAAAAAGAAAAAATAAGTAGGTCCTCTGGATGGGTTCTTCTTTAG